TATGTTACGATCAAAGTTTAAAATGACTGAAATGTTCAATTAGGCAATATACAAAACGCCTATATATTTCAATCATTGACCTTAATTTCGGTCCATTTATTTTATTATGATAGCGAGTTCCAAACATTTTGATGTTGATTTTCATCACCCAGTGACTGTTTGTTTGTTGTTTAACGCCGCACTCAGCAATATTCGAGTAGGCACCAGACAATCCAGTGATTGACATCATTCAATATTCAATAATAATGAGCATCGATCCACGCAATTGGGATACGATCACATGCACCAACCAAGTCAGCGAGCCTGACCACCCGATCTCGTTAGTCGCCTCTTACGACAAGCATAGTCGCCTCTTATGACAAACATGGGTTGCCGAAGACCTATTCTACCCCGGATCTTCACGGGTGCCCAGTGATTGAAAATGATAGGATTAAAAGAAAACTGAAGTCAGTGTATATATATTTGCGAATGTTGTAACCAATTTTCCATGTATTCGTGACACGCTAATGGTGTCATAGTAATATAGCAGAAGCTGAAGTAGTATTATATACTGAACCATAAAAGAAACGTCACCATGGATAGATATATGAGAACCTTATTTGTCCAAACACTGTAAGCATACTTTAAGATATATTAAAAAGATGAAACTTGGTCAAACTGATCATCAAGGTTGAAATTAAATATTCTTAAAGTGAAACACAACATTAGTCTCTGAGAAAATGGCATCACAAGTCAGCATCTCGTGTGTCCGCCATGTGCATTGATGACTGCCCTGCAACGTCGAAACATGGAATGGATGAGGCGGTTGATGAAGGCCATAGGCACTTGAGCCCACACTCTGGGGAACACCTAACGCAGTTCAACTGCAGTTGTCGACCTTGTTCGGACTTCATTCAGCCGTCTTTGAATCTCGCCCCAAAGGTGCTCAATGGGATTTAAATCGGGATTAAGGGCAGGCCACTGCATAGTTATGATGCCATTCTGCTGCAGGAAGTCTCTTGTTGCTCTCGCAGTGTAGGCACGGGCGTTATCATGCTGAAACTCGTGGTTGCGGCGACGTTCCAAATGAGGTATGGCGTGTGGTCTCAAGACTTGATCAAAGTACCGAGCTGCTGTGACACCATTGCCTCTCCCTGGACCGATGTTCTGGAAGACCACAGGGCCGACCCTCTGTGCACGACCAATTCCACACCACACCATGATGCTCGGACTACCCCACGAGTCTCTCTCAACAACACAAGCATCCGAATAACGTTCCCCACGGCGTCGCCAGACTCTTTGCCATCTGCTGTTGAGATACTGTTACGGCTCTCGTCTGAGAAGAGGACTCTTCTCCACTGCTGGTGGCGCCAATGCTGGTGCTGTGTTGCCCACTGAAGACGGTCCCGGCGATGACGTGGTGTCAGAATGGGTCCTCGGTGTGGCCTGTGACAGTGGAGGTGTCTTCTCGTCAATCGTCGACACACGGTCTCCGCACTAATGTGTCGCTGGTGTGGCCCCATGGTCTGTCGAGCAGTTTCCGCGGCAGTAACAAAGCGATCTTGAAGATGTTGTCGCACAATCTGACGATTCTGACGTCGGGTGGTGACCCTCGGTCTTCCACTACGTGGTCGGTCATCTGTAGCGTTTGTTGCTGGAGCCTGTATATGGTCCTTACGTGGACTTGAAATGCATTGGCTTCTTGCCTGGCGGTTTGTCCAGCTTGCAATCGCCCAAGGGCTTGATGCCGCTGATTTCTTGTCAATCTCGGCATGTGGTAGCAATTCAATAACGAATGAATGTTATCCGATCTGGGTGGAGTTTTATAGGGCAAGAAATGGGGGAACGCATTTGCATTTCAATTTGCACGGAACTAACATGCATCGGGTTACCATGGCCGTTGCCGTGATGCGCTTAGGCGATCGGTTTTATTGTCATCTGCTTTGGTTTTTTTATCATCAAATTTCCTTTTTCCGGACAAGGTAATATCAAATTTTAGAAACTTTGACAAATTTACCCAGATATTTAAATGACAACTTTTCATGCAATGTTACATGGGGTGACGTTTCTTTTGCGGTTCAGTATAGATAGAAAAGATAATTAATTTTATGACTTGTTTACACTATTCTTATTTTCATTCTCAAAGAATATCGTCACTTGATAAAGTGCCTATCAGAGATAATATTAATGTCAATTTATTGATGTGTAGTACATGTATTTCAAGGAACCCAGCATGATATGGTAGATTGAAATATGTCGTCATGGAATTATCACGTTCTTCAAGGGAAGACGTCGCGTTAAATTTACGACAAGACACTGGAGATGCCTTACCAGCGGGAAAAAAAGGGATCGGCCAATTCCTGCTATATTAGGGTAGTAGTCTACTGTGCAATTCTCGACTTGTGAACCGGAGCATGTGAGGAACTTTATTACAGCGCGTTGTTCATGTTTAAGAGAATCTATGATTGCGACCACCCTTAGGTGAATGAAGCCATCACATCTAACTTATTGTTGTGTCTGGAATTTGTTATGACACGTGTCAACCTGATGTTATGACTAGTGTCACACCTGCCACAAGTTGACATTGTTTGTGTAAACACAAATGCCCAAGTTGCAAAACTTATTGAATGCCCCTCGTATCTTCTACTTCCTTCTTTGTGTTTCCTTTTATCAAGTTTTAACCTGTGATTGGACACCAAATGTTCACAGAGATTAGCTGACCTTTTTCTTGGGAACTTCTCACCAAGGGGGTCATTTTGGCTAACAGAATCCTGGTATATAATATATAAATAACAACTGAAATAATTATTTCAGTTTATATATAACTCAAAATAACTTCAAATGTCTCGCATTTAACAGATCATGAGGAATTTTACAAGATGCCAAGGTTGATTCGACGCTAAAGTGCCCTTCCCTGAAAGTATGCTATAGCTAGAACAATGTAATAAACAAATAATGTCAATCCTGGTTTCTAAGCCACTACTGTGATAGAGTAAACTATCTTCGCTTTTTGCAGACCCGTGAAGATCGGGGTAGAATATATCTTCAGCAACCCATGCTTACCGTAAAAGGCGACTATGCTTGTCGTAAGAGGCGACTAACGGGATCGTGTGGTCAGACTCGCTGACTTGGTTGATGCATGTCATCGTATCCCATTTGTGTGGATCGATGCTCATGATGTCAAACACTGGATTGTTTGGTCCAGACTCGATTATTTACAGATCGCCGTCATATAGTTTGAATATTGCTGAGTGCGTCGTTTAACAACAAACAAACAAACAAACAATTGTTCCACATCAGCTTTCAGTGGCTTTGATAGCATGTTGTCCTTCATGGTGGTCAGTGGTCAACTCGCAGGCGAAGGCGAAGCAGTCCCACTTGGTCATCGTCTCCATTTCACCATTTAATTTAAAAGCAAATTCTGACCCAACACCAGAGGCAATATATTACTTTGCCATATATTACCGTACAGTCTCCATTAGTCAGACAAGAACCTACTTTCAGTATTGATAGAATTCGTGTTTGAGTTAATGGTCCAACTTTGAGTTCTTAACACCTGTTAGTGGAATGCTTTCTTATCTTAAAAGATCAGAATCTAGATCGGTGGTACGGGTCTCCCTGTGGTCCAACACGCCGCAATTCGCGTTCAGAGTTCTGATCCTTACCCGTGCAACGATCCGCTGATGGCGGGTTCGGTTCCCGAATTCGCCCTGATTACGACCTTTGGTTTGTCAGCACCGAACCCTGTCCACGGTAGTAGACGTCTCCAATATAATTTTTACAATGTTACCTGACACTGAAATACTGAGTTAAACACAAAACACTCACTTTCTTGACCGCCTCCGTGGTCAAGCGGTAGAGCGTCCGCCCGGAGAACGGAAAGTTGGAACCCCTACCGCGTCATGCCATAAGACGTTAAAAGATGGTACTTGTTGTTACCCTGTCTGATGCTCGGCAGTAAGGGTCTAAAACAAGGACTGGTCGCCTCGGAGTCAGTATACTGTGTCCGAGTGGGGTATTCATGTTAAACGGCGACATGGTATCTCAGTGGGCTAGCACTATAAATCGGCATCAGTCCGGACTAGTACACGCAGCCACACACACGTGCATGCACGTCGCTATATGAGTGCAATAATGTTAGACGCGATGTTAAACCCCATTTCAACTGACCTCACTCACTCCGTCATCAATGCTATTTTTTGGTTTCCACGTATAAAACAGGATCGAGAGTAAAAACAAATGTTTGCTTTTAACGTTCATGTACCAATATTGTCCTCGTAAGTGCTTCATGTATTTCTGTTTTTTGTTGTTGCGAATCTGCAGTTGGACCAAGTCGGATTAGGTCGTTCGAGTTTAAATCAACCTACATCACATGTTTGTTGTGTGATTGGTGTTAGGCCTCCTGTACGGAATGATGGGGAACGAAGTTAAAGTCAATGTTTTAAATACGAGGACTATGGAGTTCTATTGTTTTTGTCTTTACAGTATTTCAACTTTGGGTAGAATTCATTTCTTTTTTATTCTCTTATTGACCAATCAGAATCCTGTTTCCTCCAGAGTAGAAATGACATTCACAAGAACGGTCATTGCTTTCTGTTAAATATGTGTGTCATTTTAAATCTCACAACTGTTTTGAATAACAGTGGCTGATCATGTATCCTGCAAATGATAACACAGATGTTAAATGACTCAAGTTATCCTGTTTGCGGTGACAAACTTGTCGACCCGTAAAGATCCGGGATAGAATAGGTCTTCAGCAACCCATGCTTGCCGTAAAAGGCGACTATGCTTGTCGTAAGAGGTGACTAACGGGTCCGGGTGGTCAGGCTCGCTGACGTGTTTGATGCATGTCATCATATCCCAATTGCGTGGATCGATGCTCATGATGTCAATCACTGGATTGTCTGGTCCAGACACGATTACTTACAGACCGCCGTCATATAGCTGGAATATTGCCGAGTGCTTCGTAAAACAACCAACCAACCAACGACTAACTTGTCATAACAACACACAACACACAATATGCCCGACGCACTTTATTCACTGTGATTGTACTAATTATGTACTTGGAGGGTTACAGTATGAGCCGATGTACCCAAGGTAAATGACTGCGCGAGGGACGGAACTTCCTTCCCGTTGACCTTGACTTTAATCGTGTAGTCGCCATGGAAACCACGGACTTTAAAGTTCTTGCCGGATTGTGACAGCTTGTGGTTTTCGTTGGTCATCCATTGTTTCTCCGTGAGGTCAAGGAAACGTTGACCAGCGGCGTTTAACTACAACATGTAACGCAGCTGTATTTACCGATCCAAATGCATAATTATCTATATTTGCCATGCAAATAACGCGCGCGCACACACACACACACACACACACACACACACACACACACACACACACACACACACACATATATATATATATTAGTATTCTTACAAATTACTACTTTTTGTTACTGCAGTCCTTCCATAAAAAAATGCAAAACTATTTTTTTAATTTTATGCCATTAATTAATGGGAAGACCCAAATGTTTATTTAATTGTTTATATTTACGTCCCATTCTTAAGTATTGAAGATAAATTGATATATTGTACAATAATATATTCGTATTAAGATCGAAATATACCTGAATGAAATTAGTTTTTTAGTATGCCCACCCTGAACGCGTTTCCCGATACCATGGCGGCCGCATCTCCTCTCCAGTGTCTCTCGCTCCAAAATCCCCAAAACATGACTCCCCCAACAGCTGGGTGGCCATAGAACGCTCTCAGAGCCGTCTCGTACCAGTCTGCACGCTTGTTTTCATCTGAATTAGTCACATCTAATTCAGTGACCCAGATAGGGACGCCAGCTTGCCCGATGGTATCTAGATGTTGCTGATGGTAGAATAATATATATTTTAGGGATTTATATGATGAGTACTTAATACCACAGGACATAATTACAAACATCATTTTATTACCATTACCATCCTCCTCCACCTCATCATCATCATCATCAAGGGGTGGTCGGGTAGCCTAGTGGTTAAAGCGTTTGCTCGTCACCCCGAAGACCCGGGTTCGATTCCCGACATGGGTACAATGTATGAAGCCCATTTCTGGTGTCCCCCGCCGTGATATTGCTGGAATATAGCTAAAAGCGGCGTAAAACCGTACTCACTCACTCATCCTCATCATCATTATGCTTCATCACCATCATATGTTTTATTTGACTAATGCGCATTATTTAATAAATAAACGACGAGTGGGAGTTTATCGTACAATACAGCACAGCTGGAAAATAAACCATGAGGGTCCCAACCCTCATGGTTTATTCTCCCTGCAGTGTTTTATTGTAGTCAATTCTAGCTTATATGAGATATTAATATTTTGAACAGCCTTTTAAAGAATGTCAATAAATTGTACAAGCTGTAAAAACATTTACCAAAATTTAAATAATGATGGATGTCGGACAACTCCATTTTATGTACAGGGGGGTTATGTTTGGTATTCTCATAATTTTCAGGTCGTTTATCTGCACCTTTTTCTCCCAATACCGATTGACATATTTTCCCCACGTTTGTGTGCAATCGTACGGCCAATGCGTTCATCTACGCTGTCAAGCAAGGGTGAAACGATACACCGATATTCCGATGCATCGCGATACTTGACCCACGATACGATATACGACAAGTACAGCGTTTCCTCGCTATTGTGCCTTTCAATAAACCGCTAACTTGGTTATAGCGCGCGGTAACGCATGGCTCCCAAAAACGTTCTTACATTTTTAATAAGCTGAGGTTTTACACCGACAGATGTTTTTCCCCATCTCATAAAATATTATCAGCTGATCACCGCAAGCACATAACACCGAAAATACCAGTCAGCAAATCCGAACTGAAGTACGCAATTCAATACCATTATTATACTCTCTTGTTATTAAAACGTGTTCATTGTATATCTGGACTTGTGTTTGTAATATATTTTATTAATTTTATTCAAAATTTCATTTAATATTGTTTTCATTAAGTGATGTGAATTGTGTGTGAAGAGATACAGCAACCACGGTCAGATTACCGCTTTTGACGCATTGAAACAAACTTTAGTTGCTAGAGAATGGATACATATAATATTAAAAAATGCCATACTTTGACTCGTTAAAAGTCATATCTGTGGCAATTAGGCTAATATATGTCAACCTAACGTTTTCGCAATCGGAATGCATGTAGCGCGGGAAGTCCCTACGGTGACTGGTCAAATTGTTCCATACGTAAAAATATCCTGCAACAGCAATCACCAGTACCAAAATGCTACACTTGTGGTTCTTATAATCTTAAATATATATATAGTAAAAGCTGCAACTAAGGTAACACGATATTGCAATATATTATTCCTGATAAAACAATAATTTCAGATACAATTTCTTGCATCAAAATTCTTTGAAGTTGTATCAATGGTGTTTTAACTTTGAATTGTTTTGAAGGAAAGTTAGAGAAAGTTCCACATTGAAGCTGAACAACTTCAGTAGTCTTGTTCTTATTAAATAATTTTAACTGTTCCAAAATCATGAAAGGTTCAATCTTGACATGCTTTAAGTCTTGTTTTTTTTATCATTGCGTATCGAGATACGTATCGCATCGTGACCAGAATATCGAGATGCGTATCATATCGTGACCTTCCTGTATAGTTGCAGCCCTGCTGTCAAGCCACATCTATTGGGAGCAACTCACTAGACACTCCCCGCTCAAAAATAACGTTATCCTATTTACGTCATCTGCGAGCGCTTGTTCGAATATCCAGAAATGACGCCATGATAGAACAATGTTTTATCGTGAAATAAGCCACGCTTCGTTCTTCATTGTATCGCGTAGCTGTCTTATAAAATAATTTGGAAAAACAAATATCTTACTTACTAACGTTGACACATCTTTGTATTGGAATAGGTAAAAAACTACAAATTGAAGAATTCATTATCTGATTCGCCTAGGTCTTTTTGCAGTGTTGACTTAAGTGAGGAATACAATTTAATAGGTGGGACAAATATCTTTTAAATACAAAACAGAGAATAATCAATCTCGATTATCAGTCGAAACAGATTCAATTGGGCATGAAAGGCTAACTGGTGGTGACAATTATATCAATGGATAATTGATTTGGTTAGTTGGTTGGTTTGTTGTTTAACGCCGCACTCAGCAATATTCCAGCCATATGACGGCGGTCTGTAAGTAATCGAGTCTGGACCAGACAATCCAGTGATTAATGTCATGAGCATCGATCCACGCAATTGGGATCGATGACATGCATCAACCAAGTCAGCGAGCCTGACCATCCGATCCCGTTAGTCGCCTCTTACGACAAGCATAGTCACCTTTTACGGCAAGCATGGGTTGCTGAAGACCTATTCTACCTCAGAGTCTTCACGGGTCGTGGATAATTGAAAACCAGTAATGACACCAGGCGTCCTCCCTGCCGGTAGCACCGCCACTCACACAATCTGTTCAGCACCGTAAGTGTTTGTTGCCCTACGACTCACAGCAGTACCCCTGCCATACGACAGCCTGTAAACAACCGAGTCTTGACCAGACAGTAACAGCGGGCCAGACAATCCAGTGACACGATGGCGCAAAAAGAATAATTAATAATATAGTTCCTTTGTGTTCGGGATACCTTGATCAGTGTTGGGTCAGGTTCAACATTCTCTGGAAAATGACATTGGACACCGATTCCCGAGAGCCCGACGTTTGCGTTCTTGAACCTGATGGCCTGCTCACGGTATGCCTGAATAGAAAATTGAAACCTTTTCATGGCTTATAATAGGTGAGGTGAGGAGAAATCGGGTTTAACGTCGCCTCCAAGATTATTGCACTTGTATAGCGACGTGCATGTACGTATGTGTGTTTGTGTGGCTGCTTGTACTAGTCCGGACTGATGCCGATTTATAGTGCTAGCTCACTGAGATACCATGCCGCAGTTTAACATGAATACCCCACTCAGACACAATATACTGACGCCGAGCCGACCAGTCCTTGTTTTAGCCCCTTAATGCCGAGCGCCAGACAGGTGAACAACAAGTACCATCTTTTAACGTCTTTTGGTATGACGCGGCCGGGGATCAAACCCCAGACCTTCCGCTCCCCGGGGGGACGGTCTACAACTAGACCACGGATCATGGCCTATAATACCATCAACAATTCACGCAAGAAATAGAAATACTGCCCTTCGCCTTTTTTCATTTTAATGATAGTTATGCATTTGATTCGCAAACAAATTAATTTGGAATTCATTGCCTAAATCTGTAAAAGAAAGAAATCGAAGATTAAATTATACTAATTATATTTGATTTTTATATATAAAATAAGGGTTTGATTGTGCCTTTAACAATAAGAAAAACCAAAGGTTTCATTAAAGAATACATACACCAGTCAAGCCGCCCGATGACACAACACTGTAGTCATTGTCATTGTACTCTGTTATTTAGCATAAACTTAAGAGCCAAACAGTGACGAGAAATTTAAATAAAATATCCAAGGATAAGAAAACCTTGTGAACACACTGGATCAGTCTTACCCCAGTCAACCCGCCCGATGAAACAACACTGTAGTCATTGAGGAACAGTTTAACATTGGGCCCAGCTTGATGAGCGATACGGAATATGTCCAGGTTGTAGTCTCTATCGTTGAGAGTGTTCTGGAACCAGAAGCCGTGGAGGTTCTCGTTGTCAACGTCCCAGTGTTCCACGCTGTAAGGTTACATCATGTATAGAGCTAACATCCGAATATTAGTCAACAATATTCCCGCTACACCACGCCAGTCTGTAAATAACCGAGTCTTGGCCAGACAAACCAGTGACTGAGAGCATGTCATTTAACAACATCGGGGTACGATGACACATAATCAGCCAGATCACAGAAGCGGACCACCCGATCCCTATGTTATGTTCTTCCGATAAAAAATTGGTACTGGGTTTGGTTTGGTTTGGTTTGCCGTTGTTTAACGCCGCACTCAGCAATATTCCAGCTATATGACAGCGGTCTGTAAATAATCGAGTCTGGACCAGACAATCCAGTGATTGATATCATGATCATCGATCCATGCAATTGGGATCGATGACATGCGTCAACTAAGTCAGCGAGCCTGACCACCCGATCCCGTTAGTCGCTTTTGACGACAAGCATAGTCGCCTTTTACGGCAAGCATGGGTTACTGAAGACCTATTCTACCCCGGAATCTTCACGGGTCATATGGTACTGGGACCTACACTGATGAGCATTTATGGGAACAGGTACAAAAAGAATGTTGACATGACATCCCATGCATCAACGAAGCAGACAGATGATTGTTTACCGTTGTGTAAAAAAAGATACAACCACTTCAATCGGACTAAAAAATCATTTACATGGAATGGAGCTGGAAATTGTCTTGACATCCTGAAAAGTGAGTGAGTGAGTGTGTATGGTTTTACGCCGCTTTTAGCAATATTCCAGCAATATCACGGCGGGGGATACCACAAATGGGCTTCACACATTGTACCCATGTCGGGAATCGAGCCCGGGTCTTCGGCGTGACGAGCGAACGCTTTAACCACTAGGCTACCCGACCGCCCCCATCCTGAAAAGGATCTCTCATCAGATCGCGTGACGAATTCCGGATAACTCGACATATTTTGATGGTCATTCCGAATTCGAGTTCCAGAAGTGTCACTGTAGACCAATCAATATGTTTGATATGTTATAACTTACTAGTTCTTGGTTCGTCCAACAATGTCTTGTATCCTGTGTTTTACAGTGTCCTTCAGTGTCTGACCGCGCAGTGGGCGAACCCATTGAGGGACAAACTGTTCCACGGACCAGACAATGTTGTGAGCTCGCACCTTGATTCTGCAGGAGAAACATGACAATGTAGATGATTGCCGTTTTCATTTGGGAGCACCACTGTACCTTAGCAATAGCATTTTTCTGTCAGTGCCATTGTTGACATAATAAGAGGATATTTAATCATCGTCAAATGCCATAACTGAAATGTATATGCAGTCTTTTTAGGAATTAAACATAAAATATGTTGCCACACTTGCTTCTAATAACTTGGGTATGGTTATTTCGTAAAATTAATATTTGAAATAACCTATCGGTCGAGTGAAAACAGAAAGGCTTTCAAATGGTAAATATTTCTTTCGCAGTGGTCATCACAAATAACGGCCAGATGATTGCATTCTTTACTGCGCCTTTTGATTGTCATGTTAAAATAGACAAATATGTTATCTTCTTTGTCTTCTCCCTTAGAACATTTTCTTGATGTGAGTGACGGATTTTGAATTACAATCCAGGTTTCAGATTCTGAATTAAGCTTACACTTGTGATCGCGGAAGCATGGTAATTTTTATGTGTCTTTGAAATACAATGTAATCGATAATTAATATACTCACCGCCAAAAGAAACGCGAACAGAAAGAAACAGAGAAGTATGTATGCTAAGAAGATATGTTTCCAACGTGTGCGAATTAATGACAAAACTAACATTCCGTCAACTGTTACCACAGAGTGTCTTTATTCTTATCACAATATGCTGCACTTGATTTCGAAACTTTACGAGCTAATCCTTAACGAGACAAATGGTTCATCTCAAATCTTGGATCTATGACTTCAGATGAGATGCGTTCATGAGCTTCGGTTCACACAACATACCAGTATGTTCGTTTGTGCATCGAACCAATCTTATATCTCTTGTATATGAGTAAGTCTTCCCATATTAATCAACATTATATCGTATTCGCGTTTCGTTTTGGGGTGAGTGTACATAAAAGCGACAGAAACTTTTGTATAATCACAAGGAATCCGTAACAAAAGAGTCCATTGCAGGATTTCCACGTGTAACGAGATATTCATGATCGCTTATGAATTGGTAGAAGGTTGGAAGGTTGTCCTTCCTTTGACATTTGGGTGTTGACAGTGACACATTTTGTAAATTATATGCTTCACCGGAAGAAATGATGACACAATCCCCAAAATATAATATAGATTCTTGTCTTGGATTACTTGTTGCTTGATATTAAAGATAAAATCAATGTCAGTATGGAAACCGACGACAATGGATTCGCTTAATAACTCACCCATTGGATCTCAGCTTCTTAACAGCGTCCATGCCCCAGTTATAATTGATGTTGCCCTGTAGTAGAATAATGTATATTTGTAACATTACATATTTCACAAGGAAATCACAATGACTTGAGAAGTGACAGACGTGCATCGAGATTCTAAATGATGACAGCCTCTGTACCAAACTGTACCACAAGAGGGATGATTTCGATTTTCCAATCGTGATTTTTGCCTTTATGTCAAGCCATACACCATACTATCCAGATTATGGCGTCTACATTCTTCAGTTGCTTGGTACTTTTTCACATTTATTTTTAATTTTGCTTACAACTGTGCTTTCCCTGGAGTGAGCGAGTGACTGAGTTGCCGCTTTGAACAGTATGCCAGTTTTATCATGTGGGAGGAAAGCAGGCATTTACCACTTTGGTTAAACCCACGAGTACGGGTATGGTGTTGACAAACCTAGAAATATAATTTGGGCGAACTGGGATTCGAACCCACGGCCATAAGTTTCTGGCATGTCCATCTCTGCACTGCGACTTGCAACGCCTCAGACGACTGGGCCACCAGCATCCCTAGGTCCCAGACATTCATATGAATCTACTCAATATGATACGTCGCTTGTCAACATGGGACGCGATGCTATCATATGCTATGACCTTTACATGGAATCTTTAAAACCTTACTCACTACATTTAAATGAAAAGTATAAGAGTTGCGGGTGCTGCAGGTAGAGCGGGACATGCTTGCCCTTTTCGTGAACACCTGGTGCCATGACTAATTTTCATAATATTTTCCTCCAAATTTTGCCTTGACGTCAATAGGAATCCCTTTCGGCAGATATTCGAGTTGAATTTCAGAATTGGAATGCAGAACTCTTTCTTTCACGTGACACCAGCAGCATCTTCAATCAATGCAATATTCATTGAAATGTCAGCATTTTTTCTCTATGCTTTAATAGAACCTGCGCGAAATGCACTGACACATATTATCCATCGCAGTTACAAAATAATTCATAATCACAATTTCACATAGTAATTCATAATAAAACGGATATTTTGACATTTGTTTTCACACGAAACGTGATTCAACTGCTCAAGGAATGAAACTTCCATTTATCAACCCTTGTTCCATTTGCATTCTTACTTTCAGTAAGGACCGTTCCAACCAAACAAGTGTTGGGGGACACACAATGTGATTAAAGCATTCGTAATGGCGACGGCACGTTTACATTGTTACAAGATATAAAGTCCATTTTTATGTCCCCGTCTTGGTTTGGCTGGAATAGATCTTAAAGCGGCGTATATACCCAACTCAGTCACTCAAATGGTGCACCTACATCAAAACCAGACCTTTATTAATAATAATCACACCCATTCATGACACATAACGTTTAATGGAACAACAATGTAGGTCTCTTCACTGGGGTACATTATAAAAACTGCTGGTATGTTGGATTTTTTAGAACGGTGCCCAAACTAGGCATCATGACTATTCCGGTTGAGGGAATAGGGTACCATTTAAAAGACCTACATCCCTAATATGATGATGTTCAAGAACATGTGCATGAACAACCTTCTTTTCAGTTTCACCAACTGTATAAACACACGTTTAGACTTGTATAAGCCTGTGGATGTATCATATCGTAACCGTTCGTACTGGCTATCGCAGCTTTCAACAGAATAAGATACTGTTGACATTTAAATATATTTTGGTCTTTTTAACCCCCCCCCCCCCCTCTCTCTCTCTCTCTCTCTCTCAGATTGGTCGAAGGTTCCTCCGGTGTGTTTTTAATGTAATGAAAAATTTAATAAAGAGAACCACTAGACTCGTCAGATCCCAGGTAGTACCTTCTGAGGTTCCATTAAGTCCCATTTGAGAGCATTCCCTGTGACTGCCCAGTTGAAATGCTTGTTAACGAAGTTGATGTATCTCTGGTCGCCATGGACATACTCCTTACAGTCCACGACGGTCCCAAATGCAAACGATTTCTTTGTTTGAATGACCTGGAACAAACATATTGGCATGAGGGTGGGTGTCACAGTTTGTCATATTTGTTGATAAACTATTTAAAAAACAAGAAACCGATAAACACTCACGTCAATTTCAACTTGGTTGTCGGAAATCCCCCCAGCAGTGGTGACGCTGAAATGTATTATGAAAAACGCCATACATACCATTTACAGATGAAACTGAAAACTTAAGTATATGGATTATTGATTCAATGATTCAATCCATACTTATATCCAGATATAAACAAGAAATTATTTTTTCTAAAATTATATTGGCTGCCAAGTAAGTTGCTATGTTTCGGTGAATTCATAAGCACGACCCCTATTTACGTTTACGTTTTCTCGTAAGAGACCCACCATTTGATTTCAATGTCACCTACACATATGAAGCTAAATATGTGACATAACCTACTGAAAGTTGATGTCACTTTTCCTCAGTTTCTCTATGTTAGCATCCGATTCTGCACGCCAGTGGGTATTGGACGCGAAGGGTGTCACAGCCACGGAGTCAACCACAAAGTTTATACCGGGCGATGGGCCTTGGTAATACACACTGGACGATTTTATACCTGAGAGTAAAATGACAAAGAAGCGACAATGAGAATACCATGAAAGAACATGGCGCCAAGAACCATGCATCGTGTCATGATAACCTATCCTAAACTGTTACCTGGAAAGTGACTTTCATCGTTCTGGTTTATCTGGGGACATTAAAACAACTCCATCTGTTGTGTTTTTATTGATCAATCTTTGACCATTAAGTTTCCGTATTTGTGACAAAGGAGGCCATTGTAGAAATCTGAGATAAACATTGTATTTTAGAATTTATGACAAGCAACTCCAAGAGAATGAACACAAAGAACATTCAAAATCAGTTCATTTCACCTGGGACTCGTTGTTAAACTAAGCAGCTCTCCTTCCTCAAGGAAGTGGAATGATCTCCTTTCCAACACAAGAAATATTTTTGAAAACTTGAATGCTTTGGATCGTGTTGGACGTCATTGGGTTGTTTTGGTACAATCACACACAGTATGTACTATTACGAGGAGCGCACACAAATATTTACAATTCAGTTTGCGTTGAATTTCCACGGGTTGCTCTGGGCTGCGTTGGTTCAATGAAATATCACATTACCCTCATTAGGAGCGTTGAAGTCCCCCGTCAGGTGAATCCAGCCATCGGAGGATCTGGCGAGTGGATGGGTGGCTGTTGGGATGTATGCCTTCTTCCCACCTACAACACAGTGATGCAACAAAACGTTAACGGAACTGAAACATGATTTTATTTCTCCAAAACCTAATGGTTGACAATGTACTTAAACATAATAAGTTATGATAATGAAGATGTTTCATAACTCATTTATATAACACAAATATATATGCATTTAATAAATCAATATAAATATTATATAAGTAACTGAGTAACACGATTCAAAGTGATTTTCAATATGGCTCCAGATAGCATTAATTGATTCCAAACCACATTTATCACCAACAAAATAATAAATAATAAGTCAAATTAAAGCCTTTTGTCTGGTGAATCGATAATGACGAAAGACAATATATTATGCTCTTCACACCAAGATGAGAACGCTAATACAAACGTCTTGACTTCGAAGTGAGCTACAGAACCTACTGTTAAGGTCAACGGACACCTCCAACTCCACATTTTGTCCAAGTTGTCCTGCCTGGTCGTTCAGCAGTTTTACCCACCCGTCGACCTTATAGCGCCCATTAGCCTTAAGTCCACTGAGGGTCTGCGAGGGCCCTTCGTAATAATGGTTTCTGAAATACACGGATTTAAAAAAAAGATTTGTGGTATGTTGAACTTCATTTAAAAAAAGCGTTGTTATGTCTTGTACTATTCCTCCCAAACTTTATTCTAATACATTATCAAAATGAAATTGTCCGGGTCATTATGAGTACTGTAAACAGATGTTGTTACAAAATAATGTTCTTAGTTGTTTAGAAATGATTGAATATTAAATAAAGAATCAGATTTCTTGAACTATTATCATGTTCATGGAACATTGTTATGCATTGTCTTTACTGAGGGAAGAGGTGGTCATTTTGATTGATGCAACATTTATCTACCTACCTGCCCGAGGCTTTGATTCCATGTTGTCCACTATGGTGATCAGTGGTCAGCTCACAATGTATGTTCCAACAGTCCCAATGATCCATTGTTTCCATGTTTCCATTCTGGACGATATTTTGTCCCGACGTGAGGGACAGCAGGCACAGCAGCACCAGCATCGACATACCTGGTGGCAAGCAGCCACGACACTGAGTAACAGCTGGTTGTCTTTGAAAATACATTCCAAACCTTATCTTCTGGAATGACCACTGCATACCTTTTAGTGTGAAGGTTATAATTGATATCTAACGCGCTCGTGGTCTAGTGGTTGAGCGTCCGCCCGGAGAGCGGAAGGTCAGGGGTTCGACCCCCGGCCGCGTCATTCCAAAAGACGTTAAAAGATGGTACTTGTAAATCTGCCTGGCGCTCGGCATTAAGGGGCTAAAACAAGAACTGGACGGGTCGAAGTCAGTATACTGTGTCCTAATGGGGTATTCATGTTAAGCTACGGCATGGTATCTCATTGGACCAGCACTATAAATCGGCATCAGTCCGGACTAGTCCATGCAGCCCCCCCCCCCCCCCCCTCTCCAGCCCCTCCCCTCTCCAGTGTCTCTGACCCCAGATTCCCCACCACACGATTCCTTCAACATCCGGGTGGCCATAGAACGCTCTCAGCGATGCCTCGTTTCAGTCGGCTCGTTTGTTTTCATCAAAATTAATCACATCCATTTATCTTATTCATTTACATGAAGAGAATGGGTATGCATGGAAGCGTATTAGTGCCACATTCTAAAACACAATATGATTTTTATTTATCTTTACCATATAATGTCATTCTTAAATTGATGGGTCTTGAAAACGTAATTTGACTTAAAAATAAAGAAGCTTTAGAAATTGCGCATGAATATAATGTTTGAGTGAACCGCCCAATTTATCATGACTTGCGGTCCTGTTTTATTCTGAAGAGACACGGCGACACATTGGGAAACGCCTATTTCATCATATTGGGAACGTTAGTCCACAGTAAATTGAGAAAAAGGGCATATTGGTGTATCAAGCTTGAAAGAAGTTCCTGCTAGGCAACCTCATTTACATATTTATCGGATCGTGATTCAAAGTTTTTTGGTTTGGTTTATCGCATCGATATAACGCTAAATGACAAACTATAATATTAGCATATATGTAGATGTTATAAGTATCTACGTAGATCTTATTAGTATCTACGTAGATGAAAGTATCTTCTATGTAGATGTTTTAAGTATCTACGTAGATGTTATTAGTATCTACGTAGATGTTATTAGTATCTACGTAGATGTTATTAGCATCCACTAAGGTGAAAGTATCTTGTACGTAGATGTTATTAGTACCTACGTGGGTGAAAGTATCATCTACGTAGATGTTATTAGTATCTACGTAGATGAAAGTATCTTCTACGTAGATGTTATTAGTATATACGTAGATGAAAGTATCATCTACGTAGATGTTATTAGTATCTACGTAGATGAAAGTATCATCTACGTATATGTTATTAGTATCTACGTAGATGTTATTAGTATCCACGTAGGCGTTATTAGTATCTACGTAGATGTTATAAGTATCTACGTAGATTTTATTAGTATCCACGTAGATGAAAGTATCTACGTCGGTGAAAGTATCTTTTATGTAGATGTTATTAGTATCTACGTCGGTGAAAGTATCATCTACGTAGATGTTAGCTTTAGAAATTGCGCATGAATATAATGTTTGAGTGAACCGCCCAATTTATCATGTAAAGTCAAATGACTTGCGGTCCTGTTTTATTCTAAAGAAACACGGCGACACATTGGGAAACGCCTATTTCATCATATTGGGAACGTTAGTCCATAGTAAATTGAGAAAAAGGGCATATTGGTGTATCAAGCTTGAAAGAAGTTCCTGCTAGGCAACCTCATTTACATATTTATCGGATCGTGATTCAAAGTGTTTTGGTTTGGTTTATCGCATCGATATAACGCTATATGACAAATTATAATATTAGCATATACGTAGATGTTATAAGGATCTACGTAGATCTTATTAGTATCTTCGTAGATGAAAGTATCTCCTACGTAGATGTTTTTAGTATCTACGTAGATGTTATTAGTATCTACGTAGATGTTACTAGTATCTACGTAGATGTTATTAGCATCCACTTAGGTGAAAGTATCTTGTACGTAGATATTATTAGTACCTACGTGGGTGAAAGTATCATCTACGTAGATGTTATTAGTATCTACGTAGATGAAAAGTATCTTCTACGTAGATGTAATTAGTATATACGTAGATGAAAGCATGATCTACGTAGATGTTATTAGTATCTACGTAGATGTTATTAGTATCTACGTAGATGAAAGTATCATCGACGTAGATGTTATTAGTATCTACGTAGATGTTATTAGTATCCACGTAGGCGTTATGAGTTTCTACGTAGATTAAAGTAGCTTCTACGTTGATGTTATTAGTAGAATCTTCTACGTAGATGTTATAAGTATCTACGTCGGTGAAAGTATCTTCTACGTAGATGTAATTAGTATCTACGTAGGTGAAAGTATCATCACGTAGATGTTATTGGTATCTACGTAGATGTTATTAGTATCTACGTAGATGAAAGTATCTTCTACGTAAATGTTATTAGTATCTACGTAGATGAAAGTATCTTCTACGTAGATGTTATTAGTATCTACGTAGGTGAAAGTATCTTCTACGTAGATGTTATTAGTATCTACGTAGATGTTATTAGTATCTACGTAGATGTTATAAGTATCTATGTAGATTTTATTAGTATCCACGTAGATGAAAGTATCTACGTCGGTGAAAGTATCTTTTATGTAGATGTTATTAGTATCTACGTCGGTGAAAGTATCATCTACGTAGATGTTATTAGTATCTACGTAGATGAAAGTATCTTCTACGTAGATGTTATTAGTATCTACGTAGGTGAAAGTATCATCTACGTAGATGTTATTAGTATCTACGTAGATGTTATAGGAATCTACCTTGATGTTATTAGTATCTACGTAGATGTTATTTGTATCTACGTAGATGAAAGTATCTTCTACGTAGATGTTATTAGTATCTACGTTGGTGAAAGTATATTTTATGTAGATGTTATTAGTATCTACGTCGGTGAAAGTATCATCTACGTAGATGTTATTAGTATCTACGTAGGTGAAAGTATCTTTTATGTAGATGTTATTAGTATCTACGTTGATGAAAGTATCTTCTACGTAGTTGTTATTAGTATCTACGTAGATGAAAGTATCTTCTACGTAGATGTTATTAGTATCTACGTCGGTGAAAGTATCATCTACGTAGATGTTATTAGTATCAACGTAGATGATATATTTGTTCACAATGTGACACTTATACGCTTCCATATGTATACTCAAGTGACCTTCTGTCCAAAGTTGTTATTTGAAAAAGGCACAGCTCGATTGCATCTCTAATCTCTAATCTTTTCTTATTATATATTTTTGAAAAAAATAGTCAACAGGTCATGTGATGGCTCTAAAGGTGAACTTTATAGCATATTTGCACATTCGCAACACTTATAAATATCCAGATATTAAGGCTCACATTATACGAATTCCTTTCCTAGTATCTGTGCCACAAGAATATCTCTTCATGTTTCATTCAGTTCATACAAAACGCATTATAACCTTCTTATATATATTGCACAGACAATGATTAGTACCGCCGATGTTTAAGTATTTTAAAACTGGAAGCATTTCTTTCGACAATTCTTGTCTTGCAGTGTGAAGATAGAGGCTATCTATGTTAGATCGTGACAATTGACAAAGTAACTTGACTAAAATTACCATGCAGATAAAGCACAAATGGTTAAAACACTTCGGTCATGGTCAGCGCAAGTTAGTGAGCAGCGTGAGTACGTCAGTAAATATAATCGGCAAAACTCTTTCTATGAGAAAGAAATTGAGTGAATCCGGCAGATAACACACACAAACATACGGTTTCATAATGTAAGTGTTATACGGACTGTGTGCCACTTTGTCTGTTGTAAAATGACATATTGTGAGTAAGTCATTGTGGAATTGAACAAAGCGGTAAAACCTTTTACATAATCATGAGAAATCTCTGCTTAATGCAGATTCCATTGTACGATTCCTATTTCATCCTAAGCATTTAATAAGAATTCTTCGTAGAAAGATCATGTTCGTTTATACCATTGAAGACACCAAAGGCTGAAACTGCTGGAATGTTGCTCGACATAAACGGAAGGTGGACAATAGGAATGTTGAAGTCACCCCTCTTGTCTTGTAGATACTTCATTGTCACTCGGGATCTTCATGCATATATCTAATTGGAAACAGCTGAAGCGGTTTCGCTGGTCGCTTTTATTTCTAATTCAGGTGGGTAAATACGTGGAAGAAAAGAAGCTTTTTGACCATAATTAAACGATATCCAATGATCGATATACGTGAAGCCTAAGCATATTTATGGTTGCCACGTTTTGTGACAAAACCTTTCTTTTACGTTTAAGGGATAGTCGAAAAATAAAATGTTTGGACAGAATTGAAATTTTCTGAGATTGCACATTGTATTGTTTGTTTGTTGTTTAACGCCTCACTCAGCAATATTCCAGCTATATGACGGCGGTCTGTAAATAATCAAGTCTGGACCAGACAATCCAGTGATTGACAACATGAGCATCGGTCCACGCAATTGGGATCGATGACATTCATCAACCAAGTCAGCGATTCTGACCACCCGATCCCGTTTGTCGTCTGTTACGACAAGCATAGTCACCTTTTACGGCAAGTATGGGTTGCTGAGGACCTATTCTACCCCGGATCTTCACGGGTCGCACATTGTACTGGTTTCACTTGTCTCAAATACTTTCTGCAGGTGGTCCCTGAAAATGAAATATTGTGGGACATTTAGGTAAACTTATTTTTCTGGGAGAGAATATTTATTGTTAAATACGGTTTTTGAACGGTATTTCTGTTCCTTCTAACTCTGCTTTTAGCTTATTGAAATGCTGTCTTTGCTATTATTTGTATCACGGGTGAGCCTAATGCTTCTCCTAGATGCCAGGGCCCGTAGAATAAAGCAAGTGTAGCGCATGGTGGGCATTGCTGTCGTATTCCACGTACTGCCTTACGACAGCTAGACTGACTGTGGGTTCAGATATGCCCTATCAAATTGCCTATCCCAACAATTTACGTATGGATGGTTGTGTATTCGTGCACCCA